CCTGTGTTTTTCGAGAAAAAAAAATACTTAATAGTGTTTCAGAATGATACTAAACTCCCACCAATTGACCTGTATTCCATAATCCAGTTGTTTTATGGATAATTTTTATGGCCAACGCCAAGAAGATTACATACCAAAGTTAGTTTCTATTGAACGAAATTGAAGCCATGTTCACTAAATTTAAATGAATGGTGCATTGTGTTAATAAACTCATCAAAATTACTTTATCAATTATTGTGCAGACCAGAGTAATTCAATCTTACTTCTTATAGGTTTCCGATTGTCCTTGTAATTGCATATGCAGCATTATCTCCAGATATTGATTTCAAAATTGTACTTCAGATTCTTTCTCAAAGAAGGCTAAACCTCGGAAATTGGTCAGCTTGTGCCTTGGCACCCTTGGTCAGCATCTTGAAGATATCATCACTGATATTTCAGAATTTGCTGCCTTATTTCCACCCCACATAAAGGTATCTTTATGCATCTATGTCTGTTGTTTGGCTATCAATTTATGCATCATTGCCTCCAGAATAAAATGTGCATATATTATACAAGGTTTTTTATTGTTAGATAGAGTTCACCTTTTAGGTTGTAATCCCAGTTCATTGCCATGGTGGTATTCACTAGCTGAAAAGAAAAGTGCATGTTCTTGTAGTTACTTCTAAGTTCATCAGAGCCTGCCAAAACTGGAACTCTTCACTAGCAAACAGCAAAGCTCTAGCTAAGCTCAGAGATTCATGTCAATATGAGCGTGGTACATTCTAATATATGCTATTTCCAAACTTTAAAACACAAATTCAACAGCAAGCAAACAAAAAAGGAAATAGTCTACATAACCCCCAACTATTAAGGGTGGACTACATCACCCCCAAACTATAAAACCGGATTTTCTACCTCCTGAACTTTCCAAAACCGGTCAAATAACCCCTAAACGGTTTTGGACGGTGGTTTTGCTACAGTGACGGTAGGTTTGTCTTTTTCTTTTTTATTTATTTTCGCTGAATCTTTGAAAAATCATAAAATGGAAAATCTAATTTTGTTGGACTCCGCATGAGTAGATCTACACACTGAACATATAATATGGTATGCTTTAGTACAAAGTTTTTGATGTAGCTTTAGATCTATGTTTTTCTGTAATTAATTAGAATAATTCATAGCTGCAGCTTCTATGGTCCAATTGTGGTGAAATTTTTATGGTGGGCTAATTATTGTATGTTTAAACTGTAGTAAAAATTTCATACTCATTGGATCATGTATAACTTAGTTATAGATTTATTTAGGTTTATGCTTGTTAAATCTATGCTTTATCTGTAACTAAGTTATATATGATCCAATGAGTATGAAATTTTTACTATAGTTTAATCATACAATAATTAGCCCACCATAAAAATTTCACGACAATTGGACCATAGAAGCTGCAGCTATGAATTATTCTAATTAATCACAGAAAAGCATAAATCTAAAGCTACATCAAAAACTTTGTACTAAAGCATACCATATTATATGTTCACTGTGTAGATCTACTCATGCGGAGTCCAACAAAATTGGATTTTCCATTTTATGATTTTTCTGTGATTTACTATGATTTTTCAAAGATTCAGCGGAAATAAATAAAAAAGACAAAACCACCGTCACTGTAGCAAACCACCGTCCAAAACCGCTTCAGGGGTTATTTGACCGGTTTTGGAAAGTTCAGGGGGTAGATAGAAAATCCAGTTTTATAGTTCGGGGGGTGAAGTAGTCCACCATGAATAGTTGAGGGGTTATGTAGACTTTTTCCAAACAAAAAATTTAGATGGTCACTTCTTTTGGATTAATGCCATCTATATTTGTACTTTGAAGCACGAGTTACAACTCACAAGTCAACTGGAAGAAAGGAGAGCATTTTGTAAACATATTAATCATTGTTGAGAGCCATCAGATGAATCGGGGCTGGCCAGGGCATTAACTACTTCTTTGCCCGTGTGCCACTTGAGAGTCATGGTCATGTTGTCTTTCTTGTAATAGGATGTTTTGATTGAACCTCTAGGTGGCGTGGTGTGTGGATGTATGGATTCTTAACCTTTTCTTTCTTCTTAATATATAATGATATGTGGCTTTCCTGCATGTTCAAGAAAAAATTAACATTTACCTCAGAAAAACATAGGAATGGTTAATATGATCAGTAGGAAGGAACTGTTAAAACAAAAGGTTGATGTGTGACATGTACTAAGGCTCTTTAACATTATATATGGCCTTCTTGACTTCTTGTAGCAACTGTTGTTAGCAAGTTGACTCAAGCTTTGCATCAGTATTTTTAAGGTTTTGAAGTGACCAGGTCCAGTAATTGCAAAACAATGGTTGTTGATTTAGTTCATATACTGACATCTGATGTCTACGTGTACTTATGCTGTTATGCATGTTATTGTGAGTTAGTGACAATTGAGTTTTATTTATTATATGATACAGTTGGCAATTATGTCTATTGCAAGGAGAAGAAGGCTCCTGAATGATGAAGTTTTGACTTCTCTTGCTGAAAGCTCCTGGGAAATCCTAGATATATCTGGATCTGATGTAACTGATGCTGGTTTGGCTACTGTAGCAAATGTTTGTAGTAATTTACGGGCAGTTGATATTAGGTAAGGCTTTGTGCTTTGCCATTTTTAACTTACTTAATGTTCAACTAAATTTACATCTTATTTATGGCATCTTTTTCACGCAGTCGCTGTGATAAAATTACTACTGCTGGTGTGTCTGAGATTGTATGCCACTGCCCATCCTTGGAGATATTGAGATGTGGGTATGACTTCCAACAAATTGCATGCATAACCTTAGGGTCAATCAATCTCAATGTACTTTCATGTCTTTACCTTCAATTTCTTTTTGATAAGTATATGAATGTCTTGGTGTTAACCATACCTGTTGTTTATGGCTTTCTCTTGCATTCTTGATTTATATGTTATGGCAAGACCTGTGCTTGCTATTTGCTCAAACCGAACATATGATATGAATGCATGGGACTGAAAAGAGAAAATTATGTGATTCTTCACAGTTAACTAACAAAAGGGTATCTCTTTTATGATATGTGATATTATTTTATATGAATCATCAATATTTATTGTTAAAAAATAAATTTATATTTGATCATGTGTGCACAAGTCTACTTGAGTTTGCATTCCAGCTTATGCTAGTGAATAGCCACTAGCCAGTCACCTTGTGTGGGAATTTTCTTTGCTTTTTTGTTTGCCCTTCCCCATGAGGCAAATATAACCTTTCGTTGTTGAATTGTGGACTATGCGTTGTATCCCGCTTCCCTCATAGCAGGATACTAAAAATAGCCTGAATCCTATGATTGCAGAGGTTGTCCAAGAAGTGAAGTCACGGCACGGAGGTGCTTGAATCTCTTGAAACCCAAATTGAATACTCTTGAAGGGGACTCATGGGAGGAACTTGATACACTAGATATAGGAGGCGGTGCGGAGTCTTTAAGATGGCTTGTTTGGGTATGCATGCAAGCTCACTTCTTCTCTAGCTATGATTTATGGTGTGTTCACAATTCACCAATGCGTATCTTGTGTTCAATTAATATTTTCCCTGTTTTGCAGCCAAAGATAGATGATAACTCAAAGGAAACTCTAGCTGCCGAATGCCCTCGTGTTACTGTCAACCCACAACCATCACTGTTCGACCTCTCGGGATCCAAAGTCCCAGTTGAAGCATTGGCAAGCATACCACTGGACCATTCCGTAGTTGAGGATATTAATCCCAAAACGTGGGCTGTTTCTGCTGCTCCTCGAAGACCTGTTGCTCCACCAAATCCAAATGCTCCGCCTGAAATACCGATAGCGGAAAGGTTCAGGCTAGCCTATGTGGAGAGGGAAGCAAGGCTGGCACCCAAGAGGGCCAAGCGGGAAAGGCAGCAGCGGCGCCGCGCTGAAAGGGACTACATGATGAATGACATAGATGCGAGGTCGATTGCACTTGCTGCTCAAGCAAGCAGAAACCTGCGCAAGAGCTGATACCGAACTTTGCTTTGCTTGTTGTTTATGTTGTTTGTTGTATGTATCTCAGTAAAGTAGTTGGCAAACACAATGGAGAAGGGAGACATGAGGCGAGAAATGTTGTTCAATCTTTCAAGGCAAAGGCAAAATATAGCATATATGAACACAGTTTTGTATTGGGCAGTAGCAATGGCGTTTACACTATCATGTACTAGTACGAAAAATCTAAATGTGAATACACAAGTGCAAGGAAAGCGTGCCTTGATCAAATCATGAGTTGGTTGCCATTTTGTGAACCTAGCTCGCAGGTCTGTTTGGTAGAGCTTCTCCGGCTCTAAATTCTGTGGAAATCTAAATTCTGTGGAAATAGAAGTGATCTTTGAGAAAAGTGTTTCTCTACGATGAATCAGAAGAAACTACTTTCTTTAGCTCTCAGTCCTCTGGCTCCTTTAAGAGAACCACTTATCACTAGGAGCTCTACTAAATAGACCTTGAATGACTGATTTGTGCGAACTACCATACGCAGTCCTTTGGTTCTTTTCAAAGAATCATTTCTCACTAAGATCTCTACTAAACAGGGCGGTTTGCAAAAATAATACTCAAAATATCGGTCGTTTACAGATTTAACACTGAACCCATATTCATAAACACAAATGAACCCACTTGTTATCTACCCGAGTGTCGTCATAATCAAGAAGTCAATCTTTCGAGTGTCATTTTTGCAATTTTTTCACTAAACAGACCCTGAATGACGAGATTCGTGCAAACTGCCGAACGCAATTTTGTTGAAATCTGAATTCACGTGTGAATAAAATCAAATCAAATCAACGCACAGACAAAATCCGTAGGCACTGGGATCAACAACTCTTAGATTTATACCAAGTCCAGATCCATACAAAAAGCTAGCAGAAACATAAACCGATCCATCTGCACATTATATCTTATACCATACATCTCTAACTTAAGTAGTTAATGACTAGACAAGCGACGAGAACCGCCGAGCGGAAAAGCTACCACCGCTCAGTGCGCGGCGACCACGTCCGGCGACGCCGCCGGCGGCGCGAACGCTTCCACGAGCGCCTCCGCGACCTCCGGCGGGGGCAGGAACACCACGGCCCGGGCGGCGGCGAGCTTCTTCCGCAGCGGGTAGCGCATCCCCCTCGCGGCCGGCCCGAGGAAGCACGGCACGCCGTCCCAGGCGGCGGCCGCGGGCGGCGCGGGCGAGCGGGGAGGCGAGGAGGAGGGCGGCGGGAGCGGCGGCCGCGCCCGCGCGGCGCAGCGGAGGGAGCGCGCCAGGACCCTGGAGTCGCGGAGCCGCGCGAGCGCGCCCGGGCGGAGGAAGCGGTGCGGGCTGCCGCCGCCGCTGCCCGCGAGCTGCTGGCGCTGGCGCCGCCGCGGGGCGGCGCGCCGGGGAGCGGAGGCGGCGGTCCATGGATGGTTGGCGTCAGCGGCGGAGGACTGGATCCGGAGGGGGGAGGCGGGGAGATTGGAATTGTGCGCGGGTTTGGGGAAACGGGAGGGGGTTTGGATTTTATGACATGAGATGATGGCGGCGAGCGGGTGGAGGGAAACGATCATACGAAAACGTGGCCGGGCGGGAAGGGGAAGGGCGTTGTTGGGATGAATCGAATCGGCGGGGGATTTCGAAAATGGGAGGGAGGCGTAGGCGGTTTAGGCGCCACTTGACCAGAAGTGGGACGAGAAAATTGCTACTTCGCCATTATCAAACGTGGGCTTCGCTTTTTTGCCATCCTCAAATGAGATTCGCCAGATGATTTTCAAACGCGAGCGTGGAAAAATGCCCTAGACCCGAGTGATGTACTGGATTTTGATTTTGATTTTTTTTCGTTATTTCCTTTCCCTTTTACCTCTCACCCATCCCCTTCGTAATGAGATTTCATCCTCATCTCCACTCCTCGTTTTTCCTCACATCACGGTCGAGAAGAGTTGTATTCTTGTTCGCTCAACGGCCTTTGAGACCCCACGCTTAGTATTTTGTAAGACTTCGCTGTAACTCTCCACTTCCATGGCAGCCGCCCCATCCATCGCACGCAGACCAGCCCATTTGGAGCGACGCCCGACGCTAACACCAGTGAGCCATCTTCCGGTTAAATCGTTCATCCCAACAGTTTCCTTTCGATCCGCTTGGTCCTAGTTCCCCCGATTCCATGCCCCAAAAGCGGTGATAAAGTAGTGAACAAATCTCAGGTTCTTTGAAGTCTTCTTCAAATCTAAACTACAATGAATATGTGAGTATATATTGCTATATTTGTCGTATCCAAGCTGAATGAACTAGTTACTTTGTCAAGGTTTGGATAAATAAGTTGTGTTATGTGTTATCATCCACAATGTCCATTCTTTGCTTGGTTGGCGATTACAAGAAAGTAGTCGCAAAGAAGCTTAAAGAAGACTTGCAAGTCGCATGCCATATGAAGGTCATGGTGAAACTAAAGCATTGCCATACCAAGGTATAATCTAAAGGCTTGGTCGTTGAAGCTTAAAAGAATTAAGAAGAGAGGATGGATCTCAAGATGGACAAGCATGAAGGGAGGATGGACCTCAAGATGGACAAGCTTATTGGTCCGGGTCCAATTGTTGGTGGTCTTTGTGTTTAGTAATTGTTGTCATAGTTCTTCTAGGTGTGGTTGTGCTCATTACCAAGTGAAGCAAGTGTGTTGTAATGTTGTCTTTGTAAAACTCTGGTTAGTAAATGACCAAGATGTGTTGCAATGACATGTAAGCACTATGGAATGAAGTTGTTTTCCAATCATCTCATCTGCTGGTTTAGAGCCTGAGTATTCTGTTAGTCGTATTTCAATTCAGAGTATGTCATCTTGCAGATGACCGAAATGTAATGATTTCACATAAGCTCATACAACATCCTCATCGTGTAATGCCTGAAGCTTTGGCATTTAGCATAAATAAATGCATCTTGGAAATAGCCTTCCAGAGTTGATTTTCTATTCTGTAAGAGCAGTATCTGTTGGCTGATGAATGCCTTCCAGAGTTGATTTTCAATTCCAGAGTCCGCAATGTATCTAGTTGGGTCTGTTTTGACAATGTGTAGTTCAAACTCTGCACGTATAGCAAATTGTCTCACAGCCAATCTAAACTCCTTCATGTTAGGATACACTGAACCAAGATCCAAGCTGGGTCCATTTGGATCATGCACCACAATCCTCTCTCCGGTAAATAGTCATCAACATCAATGGCTTTCCCCAGTTGTATCAAAATCCTCATCGACATCATTGGCTGCCCCAGTTGTATCAAAATCCTCATCTACATCATTGGCTGCCCAAGTTGGAGATCCCCAAGTTGTATCAAAATCCTCATCTTCATCAATGGTTGGCCCAGTTGTATCAAAATCCTCATCTACATCATTGGCTACTCCGGTTGTATCAAAATGCTCATCTACATCATTGATTACGTCAGTAGTACAACCTTTTTGGGCTGCATCCTCGGCCCTAAACCCCAGCAATTCATACATAACCTCATCATCAACAATCTCTATTCTTCCTCTTCATCTCGACTTTCTTCAATGCGCAATGTATCCCATATCAAGAGGTGCGTGTAGTCACAAATTGTTTTGCCAAACAACACAAATCCATCTATTTGTTGACCTTCCCAATCAAGAAGAGGTGCCGTGTCTCTAGGTTCTAGCAATTGCTAAGCTAAGCTCGAGCTCTCCATCGAGCCTAGGATGAAAAAATGCGGATCTTAGATTTACAACCACATCTACACTAATCGATGCTAGTCTATACGCTTGGAGAACTTCTACACTAAATTGGCACGATTAGATTACCACGAGAACTTCTACAACAAAGAAGAATACGTACCTTGGATGAGATCCGCAAGTTGTCCATCCAACACTTGAGAAGCACTCCAGCGACGGCGGAGTCGTGACACCAGTGCTGTGGGCAGTGGGGGCGGTGAGGTGAGCAGCGAGTGGGGCGGCCATGCAGGCGGACGTGGGGCGATGGCGGCGGCGGCGGCGTCGAAGTCTCCCCATCGACCTTAAAAGTCCCATCCACGGTCGGGCGGCCTCGGTATCTGGCGGGAGGCGGGCGGGGCGGGCAGGCGGTGGCCGACCACCTCACGTCAAGGCGCGTCTCTCTCTCCCTTCCTTCTCTCTCCTCCGGTCTTTGTCGTGCGAATCAGTCTCGAATGTAACAAGGTTCGATGGAGATCTCTGTTCTCGAACAGGATGGGTGAGGGTAAAAGGGAAAGAAAATAACAAAAAAATCAAAATCAAAATACGGTACATATCTTTGCTCCAGGGCATCTAACTCGCTTTGAAAATGGCAATCACGGCGAATCCCATTTGAGGGATGGTAAAAGAGCGAAGCCCACGTTTGATAATGTCGAAGGAGCAATTTTCTCAAGTGGGACTAGTGGAGTGAGCACTGGAGTGGGTTCGAGTTGAGGCTTGCATCGAATGTGCAATTTTGTTTTCCTCATCAAAATGTTGTATTCTTGTTGCTCAATTTTTAGAGCTTAGTATTTTGTAAGACTTCATGTAACTCTAACTTCTTGTTACAGTAGCATGATTTTTCGTTTCGTTTAGAAAAGCATGGAGTGAACGGTTCTTGCTTTGGCTTTTACTCTCTTCGTCTCAGAAGGGTTTCTTCAACACAAACATATTCAATAATTACCTATCACCTCGTATCCTATCGCTATCTTGTTAGAAGTATATATAGGTATCGCTAAAGATATAGTAGATTTAGAAATAGCATTGTACTACGAGAAGATTTAGAGTCCTATCTATAGGACATATACTAGTCGGACTATATAATAAATATAGATGGCAGCTTAAGGGTAAGCCAAGCTATTCCAATTATGTTTCACATGGTATCGATCTTGTCCTCACAAATTGTTTTCAGCCTCTCCAACCCATACTATTTGTTGCTACAAGCAAATGACGTGTCTCTATCTCAAAAAGGCGTCATCGTAGATGAAGTGGATCATAGCCTTGAACACGATTGCCTCCATGTCATCGATCCGTATGTGGCCCATCTTGTTCTCCTTCATCCGACCAAAGAGCTCCGCCTTGAATACCAATGACTACGATCGGCGAGCATAAGCCTATGTGCCCTGAAAGTCTCCCCATCGACCTTAAATATGACATCGACCCCTTCCTGCAACGAGAGTAGGTGGCCAATATGTTGGTGCATGTCTGACGGTGGCGTAGCGATGAGCTGCCCGGTGGCTTGTGTGCTACCATTACTTCTGACTGTGATATCATATCGACTCTAAAAGCGATCATCTATTAAGTAGGGCAGTTCCTCCAAGACTTTAATTCCTTTGGAGTCTGGATCAAAGTCCCTCGATGCATGTAATTGTGAAGCCATCCTATTCCTAGATCAACGATAGCACTAGTTGTCCAGCATGGTTGAGTAAGCTACAACTGACATGTATCGTGATCGACTAGGATGTCGAATGTGTGAGCGAGTGTGACATATAGGGATATGCAGTTGGTGTTGATTATTCGAGACCATCAGGGCAATACGTGATAAACCAGCTATAGCCATCGATATTGAACAGGATAGAGTTGAAGAAAGCGGCTTTGCTGAGTCCCTTGAGCCAGGAGTACCCATTGATCGTGAGGACATGTGACCCCTTCACGATGTCGGCGAGGATGATGGTCGAGGTCGACGGCCTCAACGCCTGCTTGCCTTCACCGTCGATAGGGCAGTCGGTTGAAGATGACATATCGGTCAGGAGTAGATCTTTCCTTGGATCAATGGGAAGAACAACAACACAGTTGTTGTGCGCCATCTACACAACTTGCCATAGACTTCCGTTGTTCGATCAAATCTTTCACTCATGCCACCCTAGGGAGATCAATCTTCAAAAGCTCCTTGGACGCCACATGAATTAGCTAGCTAGCCTCCTAATAAATCAAAGATTAGCTTAGATCAGTTTTTTATAGTTATTATGTTTTCAAATCATCATCGTACGCCAGGAACGTCTCCCATCACGCTCCACGCCAAGACCTAAAAGGCTTCCTACGCATACACTGTTTGCTACACGCATACTCCCTTTGTCCCATAAATTGGGTCATTTAGGAGATGAGCACTTGTACCAAAGAGATTGGTGAATGACCTGCATGCCCCTACTAGTACTGTACAAGCAGCAGCTGGCCATCAGACAATGCTCAAAACCCATTGGACGGCAGGAGTGAAAAAGACAAGGGTGGGGCGTTGGGTGAGTGGGCAGTGGACACGGACAGCTGCTGTCTGCTGGTACGAGACCTATGCATAAGAGCTGAAATGTAGCCTAGCGACACTTTTTATGGGACAAAATTTAAATCCTAGAATAACTCTTTTTATGGGGCGGAGGAAGTACACATCGATGCTCTGCTGGTTGCCGCACTCGCGCTCCACGCCAAAAAGTCGCGGATCTCGCCAAGTCCTTCTACTTCACCAAGCTGTTGGACACGGTGACACGACACGGCGCTGGTCAATACATGCTTGATGCTTGTGGCCGTCCGTTAGTCTGTGTGCAGTGGCGGGGCTTCACGTTAGAGTTAGGAGGGGCCATTAGTACTAATCCACATAGATTTTCAACATCTACTGCTCAATAAGCACTATTACTCTTAAGAAACAATTAAAATCAGGGGTGACCATGGCTCCCTTTGGTCTCAATGATCCTCCGCCATTGCGTGTGCACGTGATGAATAAGTGCAAAGAAGCAAAAAAAAAAAAAAGGGGCGGGAGGGGGTGGAGATGGTCCCATGAAGCAACCATAGACACTTGAATTTGTGACACGGACATCAATAAATGGACCGTGAATTTTCTATTTAAATTGAGGGGGTTTTTCCTAAATTTTTGCTAAAAGAAATCAAGAAAATTGATAGATTTTCGGCCAATCGGATAAACGCGTTTATCGGTGATCTCCATTTTTTCCCTACCGGCAATGTAAACTCTGGTTGAAGGTTAAGGAAGCTATTGTTCTGCCCAAGTAGCTCTCGTTTGTAACACTCCCTTTGTTTACGAATCAAGCTTGATGTCTGGAAATTCCTTCTTGTTGACAAATGCCTGCAGGACTGGATCGTCTAAGAAGCATGACCTCAAATCTAAGCAAAAATTGGAAAAGAAGTTCAGCTTTTACACAATAAGTGTGACCTTCTGTTGAGTTGATGATATTTTGTTATAGGGTTTTTCCTGATTTATAGATTCCATTATGCTGCTCATGTCATCTGTCTTTCTTTACCTTGATCATGCATGTATAAGCCAGAAATATGTAGGTAGTACAGTGTTGAGGATTAAAAGTTTAATTGGTTGGAAGAACTGACTGCTGTGCTGACCTTATTGATGAAGGAATTGGCTTTTGGTATAACAACTTTGTCCTACTGTTGAATATATTTTCTTGCTAATTCACTAAGAAGAATGGAAATTGCGCCAAATAATTTGCACAATTGTTTTATAGCAAGCAAAGTCAAACGGGCCCTACAGAAGAATGGCTGCATCGTTCAGCCAAGAAACTCAGACACCCCATGGTTGCATCGTTCTTTAGGACTCGAGCGGTTAGGCTTTAGGGGTTAGCTTACGGTTGCAAATGCCCTCTTATAGTTTCTACCCTGCATGCAGCAAAGGAGAAAATGTTGAATTAGGCTTCAGAAAGCGAAGAATGCAAACATATATATAGTATTCTTTTATATCATGTTAATATATGTATGGCCACCCAATTATCTTATAAAGAATCGGTCAGATCTGCACCCGTTTAAATCCTCGACTGCCACCAGCGGACGCTGAGAAAAATCACAGCCTGCTCCAGTGGTGTTGCCTAATTGTAAACCATAGCCACCTAGTTACAGGCCTACATATGAATCAGACACATTCTTTGCACAATGTACAGATACACAACACAGAGCACTTTGATTAGAAAGAAGCGGTCAGCAGCGCCTTTTCATCTTCTGAACACTTCTTATGAACCACCCAGATGTTCTGCACAGAGTTGCAGATACCACTGCATTTCCAATCGAATGAGGCGGCGCAGGTGTTCCCAGCCTGAGCTTTCCATTCGCAATCTGTGATCAAAATCGCCATGCGTGAGGATATTATTGCTTTTTGTTAGCAACTTTAGCCATGTCAATATGAACCCATTCTAGTTACAGTAACAGAAGCTCACCAGGTGGAGTGCCGCAGCATAGTCTGCGGTCATCAATATGCTCAACATCTAACCCTAGCAACCAAGCTCCCAAAGACACATCCTCGTTGATATACTTGTGCAAAACATGCCTGCGATGACCGAATCAGCAGAAACCATGTTAGTATGGTTGCAACGAAATAGGATTGGAGTGGGGTGCCATACTGTCATATTCTGAGAGAAAAAAAATAGATAGGGTATATCTCACTTGTTTAGCGATATGTAGGCTGCCAAATCTTTTGAAATAGCGTATAGTTGACCCGTGGCATGCTGAAAATATTTGTTACCCACTTCCCCAAATTTCCAGTGCTCAGGTTCATAGTACCTCACATCCCTGGACAGCAGCAATCTCATTGTAACAACTGGCAAAAGCAAGTCGTCTTGAATACTAACAAACTAAAGAGACTGTTTTTCTTTACTTGTCAGAGAGGACAGGGCCAGACTTCATGCATCCAATGTATACCCTGGGCTTTGAAATATGTTTGGATAAGATATTTCCAAGTGTTGCTGCAAACATAAAATTGTCACGTTAGGAACAGAATGTTACTGGACATACAAAGACAATTGGTGGGTGCATGAGCCTTCGATATGCTGTCAACACTTGACTAACTTTTCCTTGTTCCTTTGAAATTAACAGATTAGACAACAACAAACTTAGCTTCAGATCAGTATACAAGTACCTGGCATCTTAGTACTACTTGTAACTATCCTATCAAAGGAAATACTTTCCAGTAGCAAAAGGACAACAATAAAAGGCACTGGATCAAGATTTAATACCTATATTAACATGTACATCGTCATCAACCTTCACATAGAAGTTAGCATCCCATAAAGCAACAGCTGTTGCAAAATATGTCCTGGTCTTCCCTGACAGTTCAAGGTATCCTTCAACATGATCCTACAATGCAAGTGCACACGAAAATTAGAGTGAAAAAAACATATAGGAAGTACAATGACCTCAAAACTACAGTCCATATATGGATCTAGAAGGCAATGGGGGCAGCAAGTAACCATTAGTGAACCAAGTGAATCTTACCAGTCTCATGAAGTCTCCATGTTTCTTATCCTCTGCCTGAATTGCTCTATCGACAATTCCACCTGAAATAGCACTGAAAGAGAGCATTGACGAGCATTACTTGCTTGTGCTGACAGTAAACTAAAAAGGAAAGTTATTTTTTGAGTGGATAAAGAAAAACAAAATTGTACAAGACTTCAGCCAAATTTCCGCTAAAGAGGACTTTCCCCAACTTAGAGACTAATTTGTTACCAATCATGTTCCTTGTAGTATGCTACATTTTGCTGATATCTACAAACTTTAACTTTGGCATATATTGATATGTCAGAAGCTTTATGGGTTTAGATGCTGACAAAGCTAAGTCACATGGAAGATAGACAGAAAAAGATATTGCCATTCAAATAAAGAGTTAGTTTTATGGTACAATGAATAAAACAGATTTATTCATACTATAGTGGTATATCTATACTGCATGATAGGGGTCCCCACTATCATTCTATCAATTATGCTCATGTCTGCTACAAAATTTATATGCCAAAGCAAATGCGTGTGACATGCATGCAATCAACAACCTATAGTTAATGGTGAAAATTAAACGAACTCTATACATAACAGAGAGATGCTGCACACCTGTGACCAATTACAAAACGAATTATGATCCCCTTTTCTTCCTCCAGCTTTTTCCTTATTTCCCCTGGTTTTAAGTATTACTTCAATGTCAATGTTTTATACCATCAAACTGCTTCAGGAACAAACGAGGCACTTTTATAGGGAACCCAGTATGAAAAAAACCTTTAGGCATCCAGGTGTTGCGGATAGAATCCCTTCTCTTGCGGCTGCTAAAAGCAGTGTTGATACCTATTACCATAAGGTACTTGCGCCTACCGGTAGACTCAGAAGCCTTGTAGTCTTCTTGCACTGGAGATCCGTTGAGAAAAGAATCTTGTAGAGTTCTCGCCGCAGAGAGCTCTGTCTCCAAGTTCGCTATTGTCTTATCTAAAGTCCTGCAAGAGGCCAGTTCAAATCCAATTAGAAAGAATTTCATTGGAGCTTCAATGAATCAAATCAAAGAGCAAGAAGACATGAATGAATATGTATGAGTATGACCACCACATACTGTGAATTATGGTGAGTATCCGAGATACGTAACATGTCATTGTAATCCTGGTTTCCTTGAACCTGGTAACAAAAGGGCATAAAAGTTGCATCAAGATCAATGGGCCACATGAGAGCAGGGTTTCAAACATTGATACTAGACAATCTATCTATTCAACATATAAAGAGGCATCAAGTTAAATTTAAATGTTGAAAATACTTTCAGGAAATAACTGAGGCAAGAAAGTAGATTACTTTGCGTACATTACAGTCTCCAGTCTTACGCTCAGCCTCTTCCCCTCTTCTTAAATTTGGTACTTCTACCTCATCTGCCTCAGGCAAAGTCCACATCCTGGAGAAAACATTTGTCAAGATCACTCCAAGAAATTTTAGCTCATCGAAGAATCCACACATGCTGCAGGCCTGAAACCAGAGTGAAATGAAGCCAAATACGCTCGAATTGAGGCAAAAGGTGCCTGAGTTACAGAGGTCAGAGGGCTGTATGATCCGCACTAGCAATCAGCTAAAAGCAAAAACACAGCAGCTGGTTCCATCGCTGTATTACAGCGTTAGCACTGAACAATCCAAATGTGCAGGGTCATTGACACACAGGACTCAGCCTCAATAGGTGAATAAACGAGCCTGCATAAGAACTCTGACAAACATCTGACGAATTCTTGAAGCCATCAGCAGCTGAGCAGTGAGCACTGCCAGTTCCCAAATTAGCAGCAATCTCGCGCGGATTCAGGGAACAGAAGTCCTGGTACCCACGACTCCACAAGACACGAGTTGAGGTAAATCGTAAATAGTGCGGTCCAAGTCCAAGCAACCTACATTCCCCCTGCCCCCAAAATGTAGAATGTAGCTGACCAGAAACCCACGGATCTTAAGCACATCCATCCTTCCTAGGAGCTCAAGTCAAGACAGAACGAGGCACGACCGCACGAGTCTCGAGAGGATGAACTCTCAAAGTCAAGATCTCAGGGAGCGACGGATTGGTTGTGTACTACGTGCACATACCTGTCAGTGAAGAGCAGGCCGAGGCAGAAGCTCCCGACGCAGAGCAGGAGCACCCACCTCCTGGGCACGCCATCCGCGCCTCCTCCCCGCCTCCAACCCATATCCGCCGCCGCCGCCGCCAGCCACCACCACCTCCTCCTCCTCTCAGGTCCCGCGGCAGCAGCAGCAGCAGGACATGGACGCCCGAGGAGGAGCGAGGAAGCCATGCCATCGATTCTTTAATCCCGGAGGCCGGAGCGGAGGCCGCCACGGTACACGCGCCGTCCCCGTGAGGCCATGGCATGAGACCCATGTGCGCGGGCGGGAGGCGGCCACCGACAGTGAAGGGTGCACCGTACACTCTCTGCTGCGAGTCGGTTTAGTTCGATACGGAGTATTAAATATGAATTAAAAATTAATTAATCAGGTAGTTTGTGACTAATTTGCGAAATCAATCTTTTAAATTTAATTAGTCCATGATTTCACAACATGGTGCTACAATAACACATGTGTTAATGACGAATTAACTAGGCTTAATAAATTCGTCTCGTAGATTCTGATTCTATAATTTATTTTTTTATTAATATCCGAACATTCCATTAATACTCGACGTGACATCATAAACTTTACTCCCTTAATTTAAACAGCACCGCGTCATGTGTTGGCTGAATCGAAGGGAAGTGACAAGCGAGTGTGATATGGAATTGCGACGGCGGCAGTGCAGTGAGGACGCGTCGGATTCAGAATCCAGACGGCGTAGTAGGTGTGGTAAAATTGTTTGTGCTACGATTAATTTGTTGAAAGAGAAAAATACTTATAAGCCCAGCCGAACACTCTTCGGCTAGCCTTGGTCCAGAATGGCAGGTCGTGTCGTGCCCGTGCGCCGCCTTCCTTCGAGCTCTACTCGCGTTGGTGGCAGTGCAGTGGCGCACGGAGAGCAGGCGCGTGCCGAGAAGAAAAAAAAAAAAAAAAACTGTGGAGCGCCTGTGAGCCGGGACGACGGCCGGACGGGGTCACCGCTACCGCTACGAAACCCGGTGCGCTTCACCGTGAGTCCGTGACTCCGTGAGTGAGCGGCGGCGGCGGGGTATCGTATCCGTGCGCTGGATGGACGTGGATGGGATGGAACGGGACGCGGTGTACCTAGGCTGGTGCCTACCACACCGTAACTAGTCCTACGGAACTTGGGCGCCTTTGATGTCAACTCCTTCCAAGTGGGCCTTTCAAAAAAAAAAAAATCCTTCCAAGTGGGTGTGGGAACGGATCAACGGAAGTACCCATATTTTTACTGATCAACGGTGTTATTTTGAACTAACTAATTTGGCAGTTAAATGATTTGGATGCAAAGTGCGTCACCAATTAAGAGTATGTACTTCCTTCATTCTAAATTATAAGATATTTTTTTTTGCTGTTCTACAAACATTGTTTCTACAACATAATCCCCGCCTCAACTGCTATAGATGTTTAAATACATGGTTAAAACATTTTGTATAATTTGGAACCGAGGAAGTAGTTGTTTAAATTCGCCGGTCGCCACTATGGCGCTGCATGGGTTAGGGATTTGGGGAGGCCATGCAAGGATTAGTGGGGTCGTGGGGCTAATTTTTTTCGAAGAAAGGGCGGCCACATGTTTGATCATTGAATAGAGACGACTAAGAAGGAAACAAGACACTACACTAATACATGTTCATCGGGTTACATAGAAGTAGTAAATTGCTCCCTCCTTTTTAAACTATAGGTTGCTTTTGTTTTGTCAAACTTCTTTTAACTTTATCTAATTTTATAAAAAAATGCACCAAAATCATCTATAATATTGAATTATCATTGAATTCTCAATGAAAATAGTTTGATAGTGCATTTATTTGAACTTGTAGGGTAATATATTTTTTTTCTAAAATTGTCAAAGTTAGAGATATTTGACTTAGAGCAACACTAAAGCAAACTATAGTTTAGAAACGAGGAACTAGTAACAAATTAACCCCTTCTTCTTCGGCCTATATTGATTATTATCAATCCACCTGATACTATGTAAGGGTAAAAAACCCTCCTCCCTCCTCACTCCACCATTATATTCGTTCCATCCCATGTTATATTTTTTAGAGTTTTTTTACCTACGTGCAATAAAAAATATTAAAAATCCCCTAAAAATGATTAAAATTCGACATCTTCCACTAAAAAGATTAAAAATCCATATCTTTCATAGAAAAGTTGAGGATAACGTGCCACTACCAAACTTCTCTTATTACATACATGTCACAACTGTCAGATTTGAGGGTAACTATAGCTAACTGATGGATGAAAATGTGACTTTGCTCTAGATTGATGTCACATCGGATATTTTCATCGTTTTTGTGCTCGCCACTCGAATGGCACATATTAATACGCCTCCATCCATCTTACCTCCTGCGACCATGCATGGCCCCGTTCGTGTGCCCTTAAACCCGGCTTGATCCGCTTCTTTTTTCATCCGGAACAGTGTTTTCTTCTCATAGATTCCTCCAGAATTCCTCCAAACCATCCAAATTCCTCCAGAACCATACCATCTGAACGGGGCCCGTGTCTCCTAACCGTGCTCATGCACAACCAACCTCACTTGCTCTGTCTCTCTCTCTCTCTCTCTTTCACACACAGTGTCCCCACACACACATGCTCTCTCTCTCTCTCTCTCATTGTATGGCAAAGCCACATGGGCCACAAAAAAACAAGTACCCACCAAATTATCATCCTAAAAGTTCAACTGATTCTTGTAGTGGTCAATCCTTGTAACCAAATGCGGATCTAGAAACAAATCTCTACTATAATGGACCAATCAAAATTATATTAGATCCCTCTAGGAAAACGTCCTCCACTGAGAGCCTCCAACCATTGTGTATATAGAAAAATACACACAAGATTTCGTCTCTATTAAAATTAAGGGCTAATAAAACACCAAAACTCATCCGACGACCGATGATTGATGTGTGATGCCAGGCTTCTCACCCTCCGCTGCCAGGCTTCTCACCCTCCATGCATACTCCGCATCCTCCATGGCAGCCCCCACGGCCACAGTCACGGTTCGATCCTCCTCTTTCTCAGTATTTTTTCACGAAAAAAAAAAAACGTCGTCCGCGCATGGGACGCCTCTCCTCTCCCCGTGCCGACCTCCCGTCTCATCGCCCTCATCTCTCTTCCATCGGCGGCATCGTGGGCGGACCACCACCGCGCGGGCAAGCGCGAGAGCTCCACTCCGCTGTCGCCGCTCCCTCGCTGTAGATCTATCCCCTTCCCTCGATTTGTTCCTATGGCCGCTGTCATGAGCCCGCGATTCGTATCCCTATTGTGCCCACGCTACCACAGGACCCACCGCGTCTACCTCCGCCGGTGGCCCACAGAGGGGGCGCCACGACCTGCAATGCAGCCGGCCAAGGCAGTGGCCGCAGGAGGCGGCAGTGGAGATGGGTAACCGCTAAAAGGATCAAGATGTCCAAGAGGGAGGTGAATTAGGCTAATTCTAAATTTCTTTCAATAATTAAGCCCTACACTTAGCCCATTTCACCCCCTTATGCCTAGAAGTGTTTCTATTGTTCTACCGCACAAAAGTTTTTTACCCTAGGTTTCAATCCTACTCTAGCATAGTAATTCTAAGAATGTAAATACATGAATTGAATTGCTCAAATGTAAATGCTCAAAGTAAAGAAAAGTAGAGGAACGCGACGATGTTTTTCTGAGGTATCAGAGAGTCGCCACTCCCCACTAGTCCTCGTTGGAGCACCCGCGCAAAGAGTGTAGCCCCCTTGATCCGTGCAAGGATCAAGTGCTCTCTACGAGGCTGATTCTTTGACACTCCATCATGGTGAATCGCCCACAACCGCTCACACCATGACTTAGGTCATCCACAAGCTCCACCGATGATCACCAAGCTTCCAATCATCACCGAGCCATCTAGGTGATGGCGATCACCAAGAGTAATAAGCACAAACTCTCACTTGACCAACATAAGCCTAATGAGAAAGGTGGATGCACACTTGCTACTCTCTATGCACTAATGAGGTCCTTAATCTTGGATTATCAAATCTTAGTCACCCCATTAGGCTCTTACTCTCCCTTACACTCCAAAGGTGTTTCTCAGCTAAACAAATGGGCAAGAGGGCTAAGTTGGACGAGTAGGAGAAGTATATATACTCCCCACTTTAAAACATAACCATTATTGTCCAACTCAATAGTTTTTGTGGTGACCAAAGCAACGGTCAAAGTGACCAGACATGTCCGGTCAGTAGCCAATGGCTACGTGGCATCAGCCTGTCAGGGAAGGCTGTTGGAGTGACCTAACGCTGGTCAGCGTTCGGTCAACATCCACCGGACACGTCCAGCTAGGAATTTTGGTCCTGGACCCTCTCTGATGTTGACCTGACGCTGCATACTCGGCGTTCGGTCATTTACTGTTCAATGTTCGGTTCTCCCTGACAGTGAGGCCCTACTGCTACAGATACGACTAGAGGCACATCTGGTTCTAATCATTGTGCAGTGTCCGATCGCTCCTCGGCTTCTGCTATGCGCGTTGATCATTGATCGGACGCAACACCTGTGAGTCCGGTCATCACTAAAACAGCGTTCGATCAATATTTGACCCTCCATTCACTTTCAATTCAAAATCCTTTGTGAATGAGGTTGACTCCAATTTATATTTGGGCTATTCCTGAGCTATCTAGTGCTAAGTTTGACAAGTGTGCACCACACCTAACCCATTAAACTCACCTAGGTCAAGCTACTAGTTCATACCGCCCTTAATAGTACGGCCAAATGAAAAACAAAGTCCTAAACTACTCTAAGTGTCTCTCCAACATCAAATGGCACTTAGAACTAGTCCGTACTTAACCTTGTCGTCCAACCTATGAAAACCGAAACTATTTCCATCGATAGGGGCATGATAACCATAATTGCCCAAACAATCATCTTTACCATGACCTAACTCAAGTTGCCTCTGCAAAACACACGTTAGTCACACTAATCTCATGTCGTCATTAATCATTGAAACCCAACAAGAGGCCTAGATGCTTTCAATCTCCCCATTTTTGGTGATTGATGACAACACAACCTCGAGTATATATAAGAGATGAGTGAGGTTTTCATCATGCTTAGTTCATACAAGCAATTGACAATAAGAACAAAAGGGGTTAGGCATGCTTATATGTTCCAAGCCAATGCAATGTACTCACAAGATATGAAATACGTATGAGTACACAAAGTA